TTAACGCCCCAAAATCACCAAACGACGTCGGTTTAGCATGAAACTTGGCACACACGACCGCCTAGGCACGAGAGACTTGTGGGAGAAGACGGGGCTCGAATCGGGTTCCCGGTTTGGGAGTTAGAGCCGGATTTCACTTTAGGCAAACTAGTTCCTTAAGAAACTTGAATTCGAGGAGTTAATGTCCCAAAATCACCAAACCACGTCAGTTTAGAATGAAACTTGGCACACACGACCTCCTAGGCACGAGAGATTTGTGGGAGAAGACGGGGCTCGAATCGGGTTCCCGGTTTGGGAGTTAGAGCCGGATTTTACTTTAGGCAAATTAGTTCCTTAAGAAACTTGAATTCGATGAGTTAATGCCCCAAAATCACCAAACCGTGTCGGTTTAGCATGAAACTTGGCACACACGACCTCCTAGGCAGGAGAGACTTGTGGGAGAAGACAGGGCTCGAATCGGGTTCCCGATTTGGGAGTTAGAGCCGGATTTCACTTTAGGCAAACTAGTTTCTTAAGAAACTTGAATTCGATGAGTTAATGCCCCAAATTCACCAAACGACGTCAGTTTAGCACGAAACTTGGCACACACGACCTCCTAGGCACCAGAGACGTGTGGGAGAAGACGGGGCTCGAATCGGGTTCCCGGTTTGGTAGTTAGAGACGGATTTCACTTTAGGCAAACTAGTTCCTTGAGAAACTTGAATTCGAAGAGTTAATGCCCCAAAATCACCAAACCGCGTCAGTTTAGGACGAAACTTGGGACACACGACTTCCTAGGCACGAAAGACTTGTGGGAGAAGACGGGGCTCGAATCAGGTTCCCGGTTTGGGAGTTAGAGCAGGATTTCACTTTAGGCAAACTAGTTCCTTAAGAAATTTGAATTCTAGGAGTTAATGCCCCAAAATCACCAAACCACGTCAGTTTAGGACGAAACTTGGCACACACGACCTCCTAGGCACGAGAGACTTGTGGGAGAAGACGGGGCTCGAATTGGGTTCCCGGTTTGGGAGTTAGAGTCGGATTTCGGTCTAGTCAAAATTATTTACTAAACTATCTTTCTAATTATATAGTAGTTAATTTTTTTATATTTTTCTGTAATTAAAATATTAACACCATTATATTGTTATTAATTATTTTTATTTTGTTTTTTTCAGATATTTCCTGAGTAGCAGTTTGATTCGTGTGGAATGTGGGCATGTAAAGATTATGGCCAACTTTTGTTTTTGTAACCCATGAAAGAATCAAGACGAAAACTTTTGGTTTTGATTTTGATTTTTATTTATGTTATTTAAATTTGTGAACAACATTATGTATGTATCATGTAACCAACATTATGTATTTTCATCATTTGCCAACTTTTGTTTATGTATGTATTTATATTATTATGTAATTTTTGGATTTTTTTTATAGTTATTTTTCATTTAATACAAGTGATTTTTATATTTTTAATAATTTTAAAACAGGGTTTTTTTATTTTTTATTTTTTTTTTGAGACGGCAGAACACCTCGTCGTAAAAAAGAAATTATACCAGACTTTTTGCGACGGCACCCATATAAAAAAGGTTTTTTTTTTTTTTTTTTTTTGGGGGGGGAACCCCCCCCCTCCAAAAAAAAAAAAAAAAAAAGTGCTAGGCTTTTTGCGACGGCAGCCATACTGTCGCAAAAGGTATGGAATTTATTGAAAAACAAGACTTTAGCGACGGTATAATTGTCGTCGCCAATAGTCATTAGCGACGGCTCAGGTTGCCGTTGACAATAGTCAAAAGCGACGACATTTTTTAGCGACGGGATTTTTGCCGTCGCACAAACCTATTTTAGCGACGGAAAGCTTGTGCCGTCGCAAAAAAACCCAGATTTTCATCCATTATTGGCGACAGAAAATTGCCGTCGCAAAAAAGAAAATTTCCCGTCGCAAATACAATGGCGAGGCAAAAGCTCTTATGCAACCCCCTTTGTTGCGACCCCCACTTGCCGTCGCAAAAAGAAAAATTATCGTCGCAAATAGCTTTTGAGACGGCGTGCGGGAGTATCTGAGACGGCGTTTTGCCGTCGCAAAAAACAATTTTTTTTATAGTGAATGATAATCACAATGTAGGGTAGAAGAACTATTTTTTTTTTTATAAAATGCGTGGTTGAAGATCAATTTTTATTTTTTTTTTATAAAACTTGAGGGTGCAACTGAGTTTGGAAAGGCATGCGCATGACTGTTGCGCGGTTAATGGGGCTTTTTTCAAGCGGGCCTCATTCCGACAATTCGAACCGTTTACTTTTTAGAAGAAATCGAGTAGAACATATTTGCAAAAATTCAAATTAATCGGATATCGGTATACCTTTTATCAAGTCATGTTCAAATTTAGATTTATACTTAAATGTATTGTGTAATTTTTTAGATACAAATACGTCTTGATAAAATGGATATCGATGTCTAATTAACTTGAATTTTTATAAGTATATTCTACTCGATATCTTCTAAAAAGTAAACGATTCAAATCATCAAAATGAGACCTAAAAAATAATCCATTGACTGCATAACAGTGGCTGTTGCGCACTCCTCAATCTCGATGCAACTCCTTATGTGGTGGGGTGGAAGTCAAAAGTATGTCATTTCTTTTCTTCATTTAAAAAAAAAATGATAAATTACAAATACATCCTCTGAGGTTTGTTTAAAGTACAGATTGCTACCTATAGTTTCAAAAATTACAAATACCCCTTTGTCATAATTTTTTATTTAACAGATTTATCTAAAAAAATAAAATTCATAATTACTCTCTAATATAATAATAAAAAGGTGAATTATGCTAATAGTCCCTATAGTTTGGGACTTGTGTCATTTTGGTCCATGACTTTTCAATTATGACACATTTGACCCTGAATTTTGAATCTTGTTCAAAATAAGAACAATTGTAGATACCAATTGATTTTTCAAGGGCAAAATCATCAATTTGATAAAATATAACTAATTTGACAAAAATAAATGTCAAAACAAATATTTTGGAATTTTTAAAAATTATTTCTACCCATTAAAGATAAAATTATGTAAAATTGATAAATTTTTTAGACATTTATTTATTTATTTATTTTACCAAATTAATTTTTATTATATGTTTGGATGATAATCATGTAATGGATGGTTGTTTTTGCTATTTTTCTAAAAGTCAAATATGGTGACTACTTTGATATCATTATTAAACCAATCCATTAAATAAAAAAAATTCAAAACTAAAAATATTTCATATATTAAATATGTCGATTACACATTAAAAATTTAACAACTACCCATTACATAATCATCATCTAAATATATAAAAAAAATTAATTTGGTAAAATAAATAAATAAATAAATAAATGTCTAAAAGATTTATCAATTTTACATAATTTTATCTTTGAAGTGTAGAAATAATTTTAAAATTTAAAATAATATTTTTTTGACATTTATTTTTGTCAAATTAGTTTATATTTTATTAAATTGATGATTTTACCCTTGAAATTAAACAATGATATCTTCAATTGTCCTTATTTGGAACAAGATTCAAAATTCATAATCAAATGTCTTACAATTGAAAGGTCAGGACCAAAGTGACATGAACCACAAACTATAAGGGGAGCTTCTATTTGTATACATCATATCCCCTCTTCCCACACACTTAATGAGAGAGTGTGTTAGAGAGTTGTGTGTGAAGGATGTGTAGAGAGAGAGAGTAGTGTGTGTAAATAGATGCTCCAAACTATAGGGACTATTAGTGTAATTTGCCCATAATAAAATTACCTAAATTATTAATTGAAACATATTTCTAATATCTTTAAAAAACTATTAATTAATTTCATGATTTATTAATAAAATGGGTAATTTGTGACGAAATTAGAAACCTCAAGGGTTAGAATGTAATTTTCAAAATCACAAGGGTGATTCATATTTTAATCAAATCTCAAGAGGTATATTTGTAATTTACCTTTAAAAAAAATAAAAAATAAAAATCAATGAGGTATATAGTTATACACTTTTTATTTGCTAAATTATGTCAACTAACAAATGGCTTAAACCGGTGAACTAACCGATTATGAAATATTTTGAAAAGATAATTAAAAATTAACTTTTTTGATTTTTTTGATTTTTTTTTTATTTTATGTGAAAGGTAATGTGATTTAAAATGAGCTAATTAAAATTTTAAAAATTCAAAAAAGAAAGAAAAAATTACTAATTAAATTTTTTTATTGTTCTCGTGAAATACTTTTCCACAACAGTTATTTAAAAAAATAATTTTCAGGTAGTAATATACCAAAATTAATTTAATTGTTTTTTTATGCACGCCCATTGGTTCATCAGCAACGTTTCTAATTGTACATATGTGGAAAGGTATTATAAATAGAAGCCCAAATAGAAGCCCATTTCCAAACTTCACAGACCCAGCATTTCAACAGAGTGGCTACCTCTCAGACAACCAAATCCATCACGAACTGAATTGGAGTAGGTTGATTTTATAATGCATATAAGTCAGCCTACTACCAGGTTTGAAATCGGCAAACCAAGTAAACATTTCCACAAATATCCAGACAAATCAAGACATAACAAAAACAAAAACAAAAACATCCCAGAAGACAGTGATAGCACTTGCAGCTTCAAGCCGAGTATAGGTAGAATGGACAAAACACCAACAACCAAATAAATTCATAACATGAAGACTTTACTTAAAAGAGTAAATATATCCTGAATAATTGACCAAGAATAAGAAAGGAAAAGGGTAAAGAAATAAGGCAGATAATTATCAGAATCTAAATAAGCATATGAAATTAACAAAAGGAAACAAATTCAACCCTCCAGTCCACAAGCTATGAAATCCTTAATTGGTGCCAAAGCGATACACATCCAAAAGCACTTGAATAGAAAAGGCAAACGAAACAGTAAAGAAGCAGCATAGAAGGCCATACACTAACGAACGTCTTCTTTCTCTTATGAGAACATGTCAGGTAAGTCATACACGAGAGACAAGGTAAATAATATAAGCACTTTGATGAACACAAGCTTTAAGCAAACTCCAAAGATAACCTTAATTAATTTACAACTCTTTTGTTTTCTGTATCGGAGTGAAAATTTGTGGTTCATGGGAATAGCTATGTAACCCTCCAGAAATAAAATAAAAACAAAACTAGTACAGCCAACTACAAATTTGACGGGACAAAAGAACAGCCTCCTCCATTGTCAATAGTTCAGAAGAAGATTCATCATCAATGACCTTTCTTAGTTTAATCTCTTCATCCTTCTTGTAAGCTGCTCCGGAGACATTCACACAGTTAATGTTCTTGCCTTAAAAGAACATTACACAGCCATGACTATCATATGACTGACCATATTTTCTGCATTGTACAAATATGGCTCCACATATATCCATTAATTATCTCTGTAACCAGGAAGTCATATGGCAAAGTCACAAAGTTGTCAAGAAAATACATATATATATATATACAAAGTTGTTGGAATACGCTATAAATATAAAAGACAAATTATGTGGACATATCCACAAACAAAAAATAACAAAAGCTACTGGTTTCTTACATTTCCCTCAAGAAAAGACTGACAAACCATACATTAGAAAGGAAAAAGCTCTAAATTAAGTGCATAAGTTGACATACAATTGAGATGAGCGCCAAAATTAACCTATTGAGCTTTCCACTTTCTCTACATAACCCTTCCCCAATTTAGAAAGGCTCTACTTCAACTTTGACAATGTGGGAGAATTTAACTTGATCCCTCGATCAATCATATCCTCAGCATACTTAATAGCTTCTGGAACCCTATTAGTATCACGAAGACCCATTACCAGCAGATTGAGATGAGCTCCAAAACCAACCTATCGAGCTTTCCACTTCCTCAAAAGTTCATCATATACATAACCCTTCCCCAATTTGGAAAGGCTCTGTTTCAACTTTGACAATGTGGAAGAGTTCAACTTGATCCCTCGATCAATCATATCCTCAGCATACTTAACAGCTTCTGGAACCCTATTAGTATCACGAAGCCCCATTACCAGCAGATTGCCAGTTTCATCCAAGTCCGAATGGTAACTGTCAATCATACATTTCCAAACCTTGATGGCCATATAAGCGTCCCCATGATCCATAAACATCTTGACTGCTGAACTACAATTTGCATGACTTGGGACACACTCGTTTTTAGTCATTTCGGTAAATACTACTAAAGCATCCCGTACCTTCTTACTCTTGATCAAGAACTGAAAGTAGACATTATAAGTTTGAGTGTCGGGGAAAGCACCATGAAAAACCATCTCATCCAAAAACCGTCTAGCCACATCAGTCTCCTTAACATAACAATGTAAAGCAATCATTGAATTATACATCGGAGTATCGGGTCTAAAACCAATACGTCCAACCATTGATTCCCAAAGCAACCAAGCACCCTTTGCATCGCCTGTCCTCACGCACTCTTCAAGTGCAACTTTTAAAAAATTCATCCCCGGATAACACCTCCTCTCCTTCATCGTGTCAAAGAACTTCAATACCTCTCGCATCCCATCAGGACCCTTAAGCAAAGTAGTCAAAAAAGTATCATAGGCAGGCACATTCTTGGGGTCCCAACCCATTTCAACTACCATCTCCGAAAAGGTTTGCCTAGCACTAACCACATCCCTTTCATTCTCACACCCTTCCAACAAAATTGCATAAGTATCCGCGTCAGGTCTAATCTTATCCTTGGCAATCCTCAAAAACTCCCTCGCCTTAGCCGTCTTGCCGTCCCTACAGATCGCACTCAAAAGAGAATTCAATGCCACAATGTCCGGAGGACAAGCATATTGATCCATAACCTCAAATGTCATAATAGCATCTTCTACGCGATCCACGGCAACATAACTGCTAAAAACAGAAGCAAATGTGGCCAAAGAAATCAACCCACCCTTTTTCATCGACTTAATAGCGTCCCACATCGCATCAAACAAGCAATTCTTTCCCAACAAATCAACAACCAAATTCCAAGCATAGGGGCTATGCTTGTCATTGAGTTGAAACCCAGACCACCTGAAAAACTTCACAGCGGGTCCAGGAAACCCATAGGACAATTTGAGGACTTGTTCAACGTCCTCTTGAGAAACCCTAATTCCAGTATCGTCGAGAACATTCTCGACGCTTAGGGAATGAGTGTTGGCTATGATTTCACAGAGTAATTTCACTTTTGGGTGTAAATTGGGGGTTTCGAGATGTGAAACGAAGGTTGGATGCTTACCCGTTCTTTGTTGAGATGAGATTGGTGGAGGGTTCGCTGTTGTTGATGAAGAGTGGTGCTTTTTGCGGTGATCGAAGTTTGAGGAGGACGATGAAGAGTCGTCACGGTGAGAACGCTTTTTGTCTCTTCCCATGGTGAGTTTGTAGATCAAATTGCAGAGAAATCAGTGTGAAGATAGAGAAGATGATCAGTGTATGGAGAGTGTTTGCAGAAGAAGCATGAGAAAAGCCCTAGGTCAGATATCTGTAGATGGAGCAGGACAAGTTTTCTGGGTTTTCTTGGGCTACCTATCAGTTGCGCTTAGGTTGCAGTCCGACCGGGTTCGGGTCGGGGCCCTAGTTAAGTCCCCACTATACTGGATTTGTGTTTTCTAAAATCCGAGTTTAAGGCACTATTTGATTTAAATTAGGAAAAATTAGTCTAAGGTCTCTCTCCCATATTTAGTAATGGAAGAGATTTATAATTTTATTTTATAATGTCTAAGATCCCTCAACTCCCGCATTCATATATCACAGAGAAATTTGACTCTCCCGAATTAAACTTCATTTCTCTTTATCAAAAGCCGTGCATTTTACTTGTGTGTGTATGTGTGTTGGTTTCAGCTAATGGCTTCTCTCGACACCGATGTCACCATGGTTCCAGTCGGCGGTGACGGCTCAAGCACCGCCGGACCATCGTCGTTAGTGTTAGTGGTGTGGAGCTGGTCGGCAACGATTGCGGAATCAGGATTAGGTGTGAACTAGAGGACGATGTCCCTCCACAAGCTGTACTCCATTGATGGTGCTGGATCTCCTCAAATACAACAACATCCAGAAAGTGAAGCTCTTCGATGCCGACCCTGATGTTGTCAAATCTCTCATAGGTACTGGGATTCAACTCATAGTTGGAGCTGGTCGGCAACGATTGCGGAATCAGGATTAGGTGTGAACTGGGGGACAATGTCCCTCCACAAGCTGTCTCCATTGACGGTGGTGGATCTCCTCAAATACAACATCCAGAAAGTGAAGCTCTTCGATGCCGCCCTGATGTTGTCAAATCTCTCATGGGTACTGGGATTCAACTCATGGTTGGGATTCCCAATGAGATGTTGTCTTTCATCAGCTCCTCCACTGTTGCTTCTGATCAGTGGGTCCGTCAAAATGTTTCCAGATATATCGTTAAAGGTGGTGTTGATATCAGGTTGTTCTTGTTTTTTCTTTTTTAATTCCCTTGGCCTTGTGTTTGTTTGTTTAGTTGTTGCCAAAACTAGGGAAAATTGTTGAAAATTTTTTAGTCTTATGCTATGTCTTGTTCTGATTTTGAATCTTGGAAGAAAGATATAAAACAAGAAACAGAGAGAGTGAGGGAAGGGGGGGGAAGAAGCCAACCTAGACGAGTCATAGAGTTGTACTAGGCTCAGAGAAATTGAAATTTTCAAGCCATAGAAATTCATAGAAAATTGAATGTTTTGAATTTTTTCTGGTTTGAATCCAGATTTTTTTTTTTTTGGAAAATCTAGAATTTCTCTGGAAAGAAATTCAATTTTTTTGGATTTTATGAGGCTTTCAAGCTTTTTGTGAGTAACATTTATGATATTGTAGACACCCCATTTTTGACCGACCGACATCACTAGTTGAGCACTCGGTGATATTGCATGTTGTGCTTGTTCAGAAGTTTCAGAGTCGCGGCCGTGAGCCCTACCTCCGGACTTCCGAACCCTCTTCTGTGCCTTGTCTCGGTTTGCGAACCAGACTCGGTTTTCTCTGTTTCTTTTCCTGAGGGGAGGGAGAGGTCCCGTAGATCATCTCTCAATGTCCGCAGGCTACATTTGGTGGCCGTAGGCCATTTTTCCCATTTCGGAGTCCGGTTCCCGGTTTTCAGAGCCGTCAGGCCGTGTGCCTCGGTTCGGGACCGCTTAACCATCTCCTATTGCTCTGATTTTTGGCATACATCTTATTTGCTCCCTTTTGAGGGACACTGGGGTCTGAGAAACCCACTTCGTGACCGATTGCCATTTTCGGTGCTTAACAGCCCATTTTCGGGACCCCGAACTGCGTGTTTTGGCCCCGGAACATTCGTTTTGCAACAGTTTTCGTTCATTTTTGGCAGGTACCCCTATTTTATCACGAGGAAGGTCACTGAAGGGTGGGAGGCCAGCAATTGTTGCAGCAACCAGTTATCTCTCCTCCGGAGCCTCCCGGCGCCCGTTTTTCCAACTTCCGGGCTAATGTTGAACACCTTGGAGTTAGTGTTGCCAACTTTCAACCACATATATCTGTGATCTACACCTGGGAGGACCCCCCCTAAAAGTTGGTGGCCGGCCATTAGGTCACCTGACCCTTTTGGACCCCTTTCTTTCCGGGCTAATGTTGAACCCCTTGAGACCTTTTTTCTCGAACTTTGAACCACATATCTGTGATGTACACAACATGGGAGGCCCCTAAAAGTTCATGGCCGGCCAGTAATTCAACTTGACCCTTTTTGAACCCCTCTTTCCGAGCCAATGTTGAACCCTTGGACCAACTTCCTTGGAATTTTAACCACATGGTTGTGTGTACACACATAGGGGTACCTTCCCAATATCTGGCAGGCCAGAAAATCTCATTGACCCTTTGACCCCTAGCCGGCCGGCTAGGGGGTGTGGCCGGCCGGCCACCTCCAGCAAAAGTAATGGGCCGGCCATGATCCTCATGATTGGTACTTTAACAGCTGTGCACTTTTTTTCCCCCAAAATATCTGTATCCGAGGAAATATCTGTGGGGGAAAGATTACCTCCTTTTTGCCCCCACCTTTACACCCTCTTTTTGTCCATATAACC